TGACAGTGTGTGTGTGTGTGTGTGTGTGTGTGTGTGTGTGTGTGTGTGTGTGTGTGTGTGTGTGTGTATGTGTGTGTGTGTTCTTGTTGTTTCCCTTCGGAGCCGATTATGGTAATAAGACCATCATGGGATTCGGAATGTGGAGAGTGGATGTGAGTGGCGCTACATTGCTTCTGGCTTCAGAGGGAATTTACGGGTCTCTACACTTTCAGGATGAAGTAGGAGGTGTGTGTGTGATAGTGTGTGTGTGGACTCTATCAGCGTTCACTCCATCTTACCACTTTCCTCCCATTGTGATCCTCANACTTTATGCTCCAGCAAAAAAACACACATGAACAGAATAGCATCAATCACAACACCATAACATGTTTAATTATGCAGGTATGTAGGCCTGGTAAGCTCACACACACACACACACACACACACACACACACACACACACACACACACACACACACACACACACACACACACACACACACACACACACACACAGATTCTTACATACCCAACTATATATGCATTGATTTGCATGGAAATGACTTAACATGTTGAGCCCAAAAATGTCATTTCTAATCTGTCATATTATAGGGGGAACGGAATATATGATGCAGTCTGTTAAAATCAAAAGAGCAGTGTGTGTTGGTGTGTGTGTGTGTGTCAAGGGGAAGAGTAAGACATGAGAAGGCAAGGAGCGTGTGCCTCAGATGCCTGCCGATGCCTGTAACACCACTTCACACCAGATGCTTAGCACACACTCACACACTGATATATCGATGTCTGTGTTCATTACTGTTGATGCTTCTGTATCTGTCTTCTCACGGACACTGAATGAGAGTGAGGGAGAGCCACACGTGATGATATGGGCTCTGTATGTCTGTTATGTGGCTGCTTGTGTGTATTGTTCTTGTTTGTTTGTGCTGCAGCAGCAGTCTCTTCATTTATGCTTGAATGACTAGGGTGTACTTCATCTCTTAAACGGGGAGCATCCTTTCAAAATAAAGAAACTGTCCTAGCAGATCTTGACAGTCAAACAATCCAATCACGCCTGGGTAAGGGAAGAGTTTGGATTAACAGGAACATGTTTGCTGTGTGCTAGTAAACATGTCATGTAGGAGCAAATCAGATGGAGAAGCTTTAATCCAAACGTTTCAAAGCAGATATATTTTTAACAAGGCATACTGTTTGAAATGTTACTGAAATTAGACATAAAACCCCTAAAATGTCATATTTCTGCATATTGTACTCCTTTCTGTTGACAGAATTAAACATCAGCGGCAAAAATTACACAATGTGTGGGGGGTACTAAGTTAACATTTATTTTTCTGAGTGCTTTTCTCTTTAACTCTCAGCTTGGTAAATGGTTCCATCGTCCCAAGCTTTCAGACTCACACAATGTGTCTCCATTTCCCTCAGCATTGAACAGCAGCTAAAGGAGCTCCAGGCCAAAATGGGAGAATCCCGGGAGCGTCCGCCGAGCCCTTCAGAGTGCCTGCAGTGGTTCAACCTCAGAGCCAACAGTTTCAGGCCTGTTCCCACAGGGCATCAAGACCTCATGGACTTCTTCAGAGCTTTGGTAATACATCAGGGTGATGATGACACTAAGTGACGAGGATGATCATAGTAATAGCACTATTTACTTTTAAAGGTTTCACAGAAAATAAGGAGAAATTAGAAATCTACAAGACTGAAAACCAATGTGTTCATGTCGATCATAATGATCAATCAATCTGAACTTGTATTGCAGGGTATCCTCGGTTTCCCACTTAATTGTACAGACTTTCTGTCATTAATAACAGACCTGCCGATCAACTGCTAGCTTAAAGTGGACCTATCATGCTATATTTGAATAATATATTGTAGGACCATACCTATATAAGGCATATTTATACTTTTTATTTTTCAAAATACCAAACAGATCATGCATTTTAACCATTCCTCATTTCGCTCAATTTAACACTGTCTTTGCATGGGCTGATTCTGTGAGAACAGCATCATCTACAGGCCTGGCATATGTACTACAGCGTCTTCAGCGCTTTCGAATGGCAATGTCCGTGGCTGTCTCCTCCTGATTGGTGGAGTTGGCCCAATGGCCGCAGCGCCACTTCTGTGACGTCATAGAAGTGTTCAAATCTGGATCAGTCTAAGTCAGATCCGTTGCAGCCCATTTTTAAGAGATTTGGGTATGGAGGAAAATAGAGAGGGTTGTGTTTTCTGACACTTGGTGAGTTCCCTGGAACACCGGGGACACATATTCATGTATAAAAGACGTACAAAAGTGCATTTTGCATGATAGGTCACCTTTAATATTGACAAGACCTTTAGATCTAAGAGAAGGCGCCCCTACATTTCACTGCAAAATAACTTTTGTATTTGCATTCATGTTTCGACGTATTTCCCCTCTGTTCCCCTCAGATACAGTACCTGAGGTCTGAAGAGGAGGGGAAAGAGGAAGTGACTCTTCAGCTGCTGCTGAATCTGTCTTCCCAGTGTGGTGTCTGCTTTCCATGTACCCCTTCTTCTTCCTCCTCATCCTCCTCTCTGCCGGCCGCCTCCAGCCACTTGGTTCATACAGTCAGAGATGACACTTCATTGGAGGTAATTTGGCATACAATTTTGTAGTTGAATGATATTCAATTAGGGAATTGATCACTTACAGGACAGGTTCACATTTGTATGCTGTCTCCAATCAATACAAACATTGAAAACATTATTGGAATTGTTTCTGCTCTTTATACCGGCCACAGAGTAATACATTTTTTAGAAGGATTTTGATGATAGTAAGTATTCAGAGTTAAATCAAATAGGTATCTTCCAAAGTTAGAATGAATGATTAATTTAAAGCACATACATAGTCAAACACAAATCTATCTCTGAATCCAATATGTGTTTTAGTAGACTAGAATAAATAGACTTGAATAAACGCATACGTACCTGCTAATGTTTGATCTTTTGTAAACTTGATTAACAGAACTGTTCACTGCAAAATATTTTCACTAAGATACTCTCTCATTTGTTGCTGTTTATTATCAGTGTGTTTTTACACTTTTGGTTCAATTCACTATTTCTTTAAGATCCAGGAAGCCTGGGATGACGTGCGGCTCCAGCTGCGCCGCCACCTGCTGGAAAGGCTGTCTGCACGCAGCCCAGATCACCAAGGACCAAGAAATATGTCCGTCCCTGAGCGGCTCCACTGTCTGCAACAGCTGTTCTTTCTTTACCCTGAGTCTGAGGCCCTCACATATTACCAGGTTCAAAGAAATTGTAGATAGCCTATGTATTATTCTAAATAATAATAATGATATTTTCTATACGTATTACATTTGTGTTTAAACCTACATTTTACACATTTGCTTTACCGATATGATACAATAGCTTTAACAGTGATATATTTTGTTTTGTTTTACTGATGCAGAGCCTGAGAAGCCAATCAGTGCTGGCTCTTCTGCACTCCACCATGAGCTCTAGCCCAGGCGATGAGGCCGGCTTTGACAGACTGGCTGAAGGTTTCCGCTCTGTGGTCCCAGCTCTGACCCAGGCCCTCACAGAGGAGATCCATGTCCTTTCAAGACTAGCAGAACCGCACACCATCCTGGGTTTCCTTAATGCGGCCTACCTCGGCACTGTGACCCGAGCACTGGTCTCGCTGATGGAGAGAGAATCTGAGACGGCCCTGAGGGACAACACCTCGCTCACTAGCAAGATAAAGAAATATTCCGCCAGGTCGCGGGCAACTGTAGGTAAGCGGCTCTGTGTAAATACTCTTTATATTTTAATTCCTCTTCCTCCTGCTTCGAGTCCTGAGTGGTTAGTGGTTTGATGTACCCCACAGCAGTTTGCTCTGCCTTTTTTCCTCTCCTCTCTGTTTGTATTGTTACACTATTTAAAGTTGTGTTCCTCCCCTCCCCTTTTATTTTTCTATTACTTTTTTTACTGCAGTGTGTCGTGATCTCAACCAGAGCCAAGGCCTCTGTATCTGTCTGTCAATAACTGCTGTTTCTATGTCGCCTTCGAAATCTACTTCACTTTTTGAGAGAAGAGCCTGGTTCTCAGGTCCAAGGCTTTTAAAAAAAGAAATAAAAAAAAACACTATTTACCACTATTTACCAATTTATCTGTGACTGTGATGAGCCCTTCTCCCAAGGGAGTTCCAAGCAAAATACGAGGTATGTCTTTGTGTGTTCAAACCATTAATTCACCTATCCACCTTGAACTTACAGCAAGGCACTCAGAACTACGCCATTTTAGGTAAAGGTTTGAGTTGCGTTGATAAACAAGATCAACAAGGGCAGAGCAGCAACAGCAACCCCTTCATCCTTTTGTATGACCTTAAAGTGAAGAAGGGAAATGTATTAATCTTAACCTTCCTCTTACTTTTGAGCAACAAAACAGCCAAGAAAGAGTTGGTGCAGGAGTCAGTGCAAGGTTCAACATTCTATTGACCTTGTCACGCAGGGGGATAGATATTTGAGAGAAATAACTATTGTGAAGTATTTTGATGTTTGTGACTAATGCAGAATGTGTCACTGTCCCCGAACAGGCAGTGATGTTATTCACTGAGACAAGAGTAAAGACAGTGACACTTTTGATTCTTAATTCCCCCGAATTCTCTTTGTTTGTTTCATATTGGCCTATTTACGGCTTGCTGAGGGCAAAGACTCACAATCAAAAAAATGTAAAGTGTATGAGCCATTGTTTACTTTTTCAAAAATTGTGCACATGTCAGCTTCCCTGCGGAACGGGGAGACGAGTGCTTTTACATCTGCCATTCTTCGATAAACACCACCAGCCTTGCGACTTTGTATCCCTCCCTTTCTCCATCTCCCTCTCTGGTTTTTACTTTCCCTCTCCTTAAATGTGAGATGAGAGGAGGCAGCCAGGATAATTGGCCATGCGTCAGTTGGGCTGTTTGATCACGTAACACGGCGGAGGCTACACACCTACGTGCCGCTCAACAAACCGTCAAATGTAGCACCGGAGGCAGAACATGGCTCCAAAGGGAGCGGGGGACCCGTGCTGTGTAATGATGGTAAAATGGAGCAGTTTTGCCTGTGCTGGTTTTATGTGTGTGTCGGCGTGTGTGTGCGCATGTGTGTATTTGTGTGTGTGTTTGACTATCAGCTGCAACACCGCTTTGAGGGCTACAACTGGGATTACATTTTGTGTTGTTCATGTTTTAAGCCCCCCCCCCCCCCCCCCCCCCCAAAAAAAGAAAGCTAAAGAACCAACATATCCACCACCCTAACGCCCATGGCTTCTTAAGAGCCAAAGCTTGAACATTAATGCATAATCTGCTTTCACACTTTACTGACTATACTGTATGCTACGCCCATAATTGTCAAGACAATTATGACAGTGGTGAAAGAAAATTGATTCTATTTTCATAAGCATCCTATGACTCCTTAGATCTCCCCCTCCTTCCCTGCTGTGTTATTGTTTATTTCTGCAGTAGAGGCAGGCGGTAGGTATATTTTGATAAGAGCCATGCCTGGGAGACTGTGCCGGCTCCCAGGGGAGAGGCGCTGTCTGTAGCATCAGCCACTGTCAAACCACTGAACCATTTAACAGCGTTCACGGCGAGATCTGCCTCCTCTTTTAACCCCGCCGACTCAAAGGCAGACTCTGACATTGTACCTCGACAGATGTGAAGGATCTCAGCCCTTTTTTTTGTTCATCTGCCCCCCCCACCCCTTTTTCTTTTCCTCAATCTCTCCGGCGTCCACTTTTTTCCCTCCCCTTCTTTTCTTGTTTTTTCCCATTTTCCTGTAGTTTTCCGAGTGTAATGGGGTGAGCAGTGAGACTGGGGAGTGTGCTAGACAGGTTGGCTGGTCAGGAACAATACAAGCTTTAAACCTTACTAACACACCTCACTGAGTCTGCAGGGGAGTGGGTGGGTGTCTGTGTGTGTGTGTTTTTGTGTGGGCGTGTGTGTGTCCCGAATAGCGAAAATAAAGAAAAATACTGTATCTTACATTTTTCAGTGCCCTTTGCTCGACAGTGTTGTATTAAGATAAAGGTTAATGTTAATCAGTTACAGTTCTCATACTTTTAAGCAATCATCCAAATGTTATAACTTGATACTGATTTTATACGATTAACCATGGAGGCAATTACACACTTTTTTGTTCAACAATATAGCTTAGTGCTTCTGAAACTAGTGAGGAGAATATAGCCTTTGGAAATGTTTTTTACCTCTTTCCTGATGCACACACACACACACACACACACACACACACACACACACACACACACACACACACACACACACACACACACACACACACACACACACACACACACACACACAGGACACACCACACACACACACACACAGGAGTGAGTGTGTGTCTGTTGCGTGTGTTTTGCACTAATTGCAGCCTACTTAGAAAATGGTGTGATCAAAAGTCATTTAATCCCTACCCCTTTTAAAAATGCATCATTAGATTACCATATGGCACTCAGTAATATTCATATGAATAGGAGACTCTGTGTGTTGGTTGCCCGACTCAAAAGCTTTCATTCCAATTTCCTGCATACACACATTCAATGTATTCCCTAAACAATCGACCACAGGTTGAAGGATGAAGGTTGTGAAGTTATGTTTAAACTCTGTAACCCCATTCCTGGTTGTGCGTGATTTGAATTTCTTACTACTTACTAATTTCACCCATATGAAGGTTGAACAGCTCCCTACTAGATAAAAAAACATTGAGTTAGAAACATGTATAGCAAGCACATTCACGCCCTATTGCACCCCCTCACATCTTCGCGCCTTTCTGGCTCTTTGAACTCTTTCGCTAGTGAAAGCACAGCATCCTATTCAACAGGGAGAGAGGGTTCTGTAGTGACGCGAGATAGCTGTGCTGAGTCTGCTGACTGGCATTGGAGGTGCTTGTGGGGATTGAGGCTGCTCGGGATGGCGTTAGTTAATATTTATTAAGAGACACCTTTCACTTGATCATATCTCTGCCTGAGTTTATACACAGTCTGCCAGGAACGTGCAATCAGCATGCTGCCATGTAATATGGCTATGTAGTTGGTTTCTGTCTGTGTACATGGACATGTGTGATTGCGTGATGCTCCAGTCTCTGAAACGATTGGTTTTCATGAAGCTCTCTTCCCTGTCCTTGTTGACGAATGAGAGTCTTCTGATGGAACCACACAGAGCAAGTCGTTGTGTTAATGTGGGTGAGTGTGTTTCAGTGTAAAATGGTTCTCTAAATCATGGCACAAAATCGTTAAAAATATGTTTTGTGCCCTTGAGAAGTGTATTTATGGCTTGCCATTACTCTAACCCCCCAATTTCCTCCGAGTGGAACACAATGGCTTTTTGGTATCACTCTTGAAAGCTCAAGGATATGAAACATTTTCCTGGCAGGCTTCTATTGAGGAAGCACTAGACAAAAATGCTTGCTTATTGAGAGCAGCCAGCACTTCGTGTGAAGAGTCAGTGTGATTCGCCAAGGGGTTGAAAAACAATAACGCAAACA